TGTTGTTGTAATATTAATATCTACTTTTTGGTATTTGTATGCATTGAATTAATCTTATTGGACGGCTAGTTATTTATATGTTTTTGAATTGGGCTACGTTAATTTGTAAAAGTTACGAATGAAATGTCATTAGTTATATTTATGTAGCGTTGCTATAAATATTAAAAAATTTAATTATGGTACGGAACCGAACGGACCCGATCCGATCCGAACCGAACCGAACGGAATCGAACCCGAAAGGTTTCATAATTATATTTGGACCCGACGATTCCATTTATTAAATATCCGAAAGTTTTGGGTCGGTTCGGGTTTCTTCAGAGTTCAGAACCGAACCGACCCACGGACAGACCTATCTTTGACTCTCATATCAATCTTACCCTCGGCCTTTATTTTGTAACGTTTTATCTCAACTTTTGAATAGTTAGCAAGATGTGTCATATAGGATAATTGTCTCATTCCCTCATTAATTTTAAGATAAGATGATGTTAAAATGAAAACTTCACCGTTGTCTTTAAATGAGCAAACAAATAGAATAAAAGGATAAAAAATAAAGAAAAAATGATTTACTTCTTTCACACAACCTACCCCAACAACGGCTACAATGGTAGTGAAGTGACATCGTCATCATCAACTGGTGGTTTTTTTCTTTTACAAAATGATTTTTTTTCACATGTCATACCTTATTGAACTCTTTTCAACATGACAAATCCAACGATATACTCTATTTCTTTATTTGACAATCTGAAGTTTTTACAAATAAGGGTGCGTTTGATTGTGAGTATGGAATTTGTATGAAAAGAAATAAAAATAATTAATTAAATATATATAATTGATTTAGTTTTCAACCTAGAAAATATTATATCTGTCCATTTTTTATTGATAGATAGATGATAGAGAGAGGAAGAGAGTGAATTATATTGTTGGGGTCTCACTCAATTTTCGCCTTTTTAAGTCATTCAAAAGTTTAGTCCACTTGATTTTCTATGCAAAATATGAATTGACGCGGAATGTTTTGAGAAATCACCAAAAGTTCTACTCATCAATTCCAAGTTCGATTACCTTTTGATTTTCTCAATCCAACCTTAGTCATTGAAAAATTATCTACATGAATCATAGAAACTATATGATCATCATTAAAGCCTAATTGAAAATATTGAAAATTGGAAGTTCGAAATGTTAGAAACTTGCTCAACTTGATCAAAACTTTAAATATTTTCAATTATTTTTTCATAGTGCAAATTAATTACCTTAATAACTTCTACTAGTCATATAGATCATGTTTCAGTGAAAGTTTGATCGAAGAGACAATACAAGGATGGAGTGATAGAGTTGAAAACCAATCCAAGTAGGGGTGGGTCGAAGGTGAACTATTTTTTCTTTGTTTATCTATTTGAATATTGAGGTAGAAATGTCATTTTAATAATAATATAAAAGAGAACCGTACTTTTTTCCTTTAGGACAAACCTCAAAGGAAAATTCTACTTGTACAACCTCAAAGGAAAATTCTACTTGTACAATCTTTCACATGTGTGGGGGTTCCGTATGTTTAAAAAATAAAAAAAAATAAAAATATGGACCCCCTCATGCGAGTGATTGTCAACCTCGGTTGTACATAGGGTTGGGCAAAATATCAGAACCGAACAGAATCGAACCGGAACCGAATCGAACCGAA